TGACAGTTGACAGCACGTGAAAAATGTGGATTGAATTTGGCAAAGGTGCACTCATCAGACAAGATCACACACAGAGAGACCAAACTTCGAGCTCGTTTCAAATTGTCGTCTTTTTAATGAAACGTTCGTTTGGAAAAGAAGTAATCAAAATCGATTTCAATTCATTCAACAATTTTGAAATTTTACATTCATTGAAATATTAAAAAAAATTAAAAAAAATGTCTTTTGCCTTATTGGACCAATTGGATGATCATGAACTTGTTGTTGTACTGAAACATCAACGCTCCAAAAAGAATTTCAAAAAAGAAATCACTCTTTCGACAAGAATATTCTCTCATTGCCTTTGATCATGTCCTTTGGTTTTATATTTTGACTTTTATGGATTTTAAATTCTTGTTTCATATTGGTGTTCGAATTGACAAAATGAGATGTGAAATGAATTATTCAAAACCTATTTGTCATCATGTATTGATGTGTGAATTTAAAACATTGTTGAATGGAGAAGAAGAGAAAGATACTCTGTGAGTGTGGTTTGAGAAATTTATGCCTTTGAAATCAATGAAATGTTGAAACAAACAGATCCTCAATGTCTATTTAAGGAAATTAGAGAATTTGTGGACAAACATGAGAATTTGGATCAGAGGACATTATTCACTAAATCACCATCAAATTCAACATCAAGTTCTAACATTCCATCTTACATTCATTCATTCAGAAATGATACAATTTTAGTGTTTGTCAAATTATTCCACAAATTCTCGAAAAGAAGATGTCGCATTCGTAGTTTAAATATTCATCTTCGAAGAGATATCAAGTTCCCACTTGGTATGATGATTCAACTTATAGCAAACGATTTCACAAACCCAATGAAGCCAAACATGATCAAGATCGACAAAAAGATCAATCGCACATCACAATGATCGATCCACACACAAGAAGACAATTTCAATGTGACCATTTTGAGAATGTCATTCGATTGGATTCCATCATCCTTTCATCATGATTTCACAATGTAAGGCATGTGGAATCTCAATAATGGATATTAGTCATTTCACTCCAGAACATTTGAAAAGATATAAATACTAGATGGATATATACAACTAAATAATCGATAGATGTATACATTTAAATACTAGATGAATATATTTAATGATGAATACATTTAATCGATGGTTTTCTTTAGAACAATGAGGATTTAGTGAAAATAATCACTCCAGTGATTGAAGTGTCCACTGTCACATATACACATCTTTCCTATTTAATTTAGAAGCTTGGAAAATGTGTTTTTCAAATCTCTCATCTCTTCTTCACTCACTTCATGTGAATGAAATCTATAAATCTTTCGTTGTGTAATCATTTTCCCACCCTCTTCCAACCAATCAAAGGATTGTTTTGCAAAATTCTGATAATTCACCACATCATCTTCATCTCCATGGAAAATATAAAGTGGTGTTGAAATATTCTCTTGTGAAATAAATTCTTTTGAAGTTGAATATTGAGATCTCAATAATACATAACCACTCGCACACACAATTCCTGCAAGTGGATATTTACATTGAGAGCCAACAAGGACAGACATGGCACCTCCTTGTGAAAAACCACCTAATACAATTCTGTTTGAGGGAATTTGAGGGATTAAGTGTTGTTTCAGAAATTCATCATCATTGGTCATTAAAGTGTGAATTAAATCATTGACAAGTTTTTTAGAAGCATGATATCCTTCAATGTCTTCTTTGACTTTCATGACTTGTCGATCGAGAGATTGAATATCATACCAACCAGGCATCACCATTCCTCCATTAATTGTGATTGGACGGTGAGGTGCATTGGGTAAAATACCAATCGTATGATTTGGTAGAACGTGTTGGAGCATTTGTGCAAATCCATCATAGGTATCTCCGAGTCCATGAAGCCAAATGACAGCACTATTCACACTTGAAGTTTGGTGGTGGTGGTTGTTGGAAAGAGCATGCTGGATTGAGGAAGGTGTGAGCACGGCACATTCCATTCCACATAAATAGGTGTGATGAATTTTGTGATAATTCTTCATAGTGTTTGTGAGTGGCTTCAATTGACGAATGAGCAATCGGAATGAGGATGACGAATGGGTTTCAGCAATTCGACAAGACAAGACACAAAATTTCTTTCCGAGCATGCGAGGTATTTTTTTTAATGAAATTCAAAGACCTCTGCTTCACAAGTCTTCAATGACATGTTTCACCACATTTCGTATTTGTGTTTGAGAGATTGGCTTCAAACAAACAAGATTCATTCCAGCTTGTTTGCAAATATGCTCTCCATCACTATCTCCTGTGGCTCCAATTAAAACACAAGGTTTAGCCTTGTGCTCTGATTCGAATTGTCTAATTTTTTGGGCACATTCCAATCCACTCATCACGTCCATGTGAACATCTAGAATAACGGCATCATATTTGTTTGGCGTGTTAAAATGTTGAATAAATTCATCGTATGCTTCTTTACCGTTCACAGCTCCTTTGGTACGAACTAGGAGCTTGCAAGGACAATTCTTGATTTCTGATATTTGACTTTCCATATCTGAATTTCCTGAAAGTCCTCCTAAAATTTTTAGCATCACATTTCTGTTAATATTGTTGTCATCAGCCACAAGAACTTTCAAATTAATTGTCTTTTCTTCTTCGATTTCAGGTATTGACTTGTCCTGAGAGAAGCTAGAATGAGCAATGGATGTTGTATCTAAGGAAGAGCATCTTGATTCTTGAGATGAATTTATACCTGGAGAAGTAAGAGCAGTTGGGTCCATTGAGAATTTTCGATGGTCGTCTTTCTTTGAAGGAAATTGGTAGGTCTCTATAAGTTTTCTTTCATTATGGGCGATTGTTGAGGGCCTAATCGCCAATAATTGTTGTATCATATACTGGAATGAGAATAAGGTGATAGGCTTTCTTAGAGTTAAGTCAAATAAGCCTTTGGTTTTTGACTGCCTTTCAAAGTTAGAAGGGTCTTTTCTAATAAAACTAAGAAATCTCTTTGGTTCGAACTTATCAAACCAAACGACTACTTTTGTAGAGATGCTATATCCACCTAAAGCCAATTTTGCATTATGATTTTCAACAATGCTTCTCAGTTTGATGACTGTAGAAAATATTCTTTCAATTTCTGGAGGGCTATAAATCACAGAGCTATTTCTTCTAGTGCTGGAAGAAGATCCTACACGTATGCTATTAGTGTTTTGAGCTGAGGGGTTGAAGAGAGCATTTTCACTCTTTGGAAGGTTCTCAGGAAGGAAACAAGAATCGTCTAGGATAATGAAAGAAATTGGTTTTTGAACATTCCATTCATGAATGTTTGGGGAAGAATTATGAAGGAATCTCTCTGTTATGTTTTCTAGTGATTCTGCACTCACAAACATGGTGTCTACATCATTTTCCATGGACACAACTTGGTCATCAAAAGTCTCTCTCATGTAATTGGTGAGAATATTTCTAATCTTGGGTTCTTTGTAAATGACAAGACAAGTAGAAGAAGGATAATTGGAATTAAGTTTTTCCTTGACTTCAATTAGCTTAGATTCTTCTGTAAGAGGCAAACGTTTTTCGGCTCGTTCAACAATCTTGTCATAATCCTCTCCTCTTGATGCTTTTTGGAATGTAACGGTAAACCAAAAGTTGCTTCCCGATTCGCCATTGCTGTAACAGCCAATGTCTCCGTTCATCAGATTTGTGAGATTTTTACAAATGCTCAAGCCAAGTCCACTACCTTCATATTCCTTATCTTTTTAAGTCGCGAAAAACTTTAAACAAATCTTTTGTTTTTCTTTGGGGATACCAATACCTGTATCACAAACGACAACAAACACCTTAACAGCGTTTTCTGTCTCATCTTGAACATCAACTGAGACTGTAACAGATCCAGTATGAGTGAACTTGATTGCATTTCCCATCAAATTTGTCAAAATTTGTTGGAATTTGTGAACATCTCCTTTAACAACAATTGGTACTCTGTGTTTTGATCCTCGCTTGATATCAATTTCAAGTCCTACGTCAATACCTTTCTTGAATGCTGTAACACTGTTGATAGAAATAATTTCTTCTATCGAGTACACTAAATCGAAGTTGGAAAGGTCCAATTCCACGGTTCCTGATTCCAATTTTGAAGAAGAAAGTACATCTTGAATAATATTACTCAAAATATGACAGCTAGAAAGAATCATATTCATCCATTCCAGTCCTTCGTGGAAATCAACAGCTTGTTGGCTCATAAAATCTTCGTGCATTTTTTGAGCGATTAAGTATATGGAGTTCAATGGATTCTTTAGATCGTGAGAAATCATGCTAAAGAATGTCGTTCTACTCTGGAGCTCAATCTGAGCCTGTCTGGCCTTCTCATTCATCAGCCTCACTTGGTCGTTAAGCTCGTTGTTTCTTACAATAAAAACATCGACCTTTTAGAACTTAAGAAATCCACTTTGTGAGTAACCTCAACTCCAAATCTATCTCCAAGCTTCGTTCTTGCTTTACATAGCGTCCATTCATCAGTTGCTATTACTGGAGGGCCTACTAACAAATCCAGTATATTCTTGTTGGCATGGACAATTTCATCATGTTCATACCCAAACATTCTTTCAAAGGCAAGATTAACGTAAATAATTTTCTTTTTCCTTCTACTTTGAATGATTATTGCCTCATTTGTGATATTAAGCATGTTAGAAAGTCTTGTTTCTACTTCTTTGATCTGGGATCTAAATGCTTGATGCATATTGTTTAAAATTAATATAGCAACGACATAGGGTATTGAAATAAACAAAATATCACAAAAGTAATCCCCGTAATTTAGCTTTAGACCTTGCATTATACCTCCCAGCCATCCAAATTGTATGAAAGCTAGTATATAACCAATGATGGCTACTATCAATGTTTTAGTACTAGACAGACCAATGGCTGCAAATATTGTTGGAAATATGATTACTCTCAGGTTAGTGGCTAGAATTAGATGTTGATAAGCAACAAAGTCGTTTTGTTGGAAAATTAATAGTGAAAGGATGGAGTTGGTGTCAATGGAAGAAGAAACAAGGTTAATTAGGACAAAAGGAACAGAGAACAGGTAGGCAAGAAAAACATAGAGATAGGCATGGGGAAAAGGAGAACGGAAGAGAATGAATCCAACCAGAGAGAAAGTAGCATCTAATATATAGAGAAGGGAAAGGGTTTTAAAACGTATGAGTTGTTGAATGATCACTGTGGTAGTGATGATTGGTTAGGTGGCCACGTTGGACAAATTAGGAATCCAAAATTTCCATGTTAGAACAATACGAAGGTTGAGAGTGGTCATAGTTCATGTATTGATCAAACCACATGATGATTTCAACATGTTGAACAGTAAATAGACATGTCATATTTGATTATCATCAACAACACATGCAAAAACGAATTGTGTTAGAATACAACACGATGCAATAATTGAAATACGTACTTGATATCGAAAAGAAGAGGTAAAAGACAAAGTAGACAGAATAGTATGCGATGGATAGTCGTTCGTATGGATCCTTAATGCTATTGTGTGCTCGCAAACCTGGAAAGTTTACAAATCTATACCCCAACAAGAAGGAAGAAGATTTGGAATATATAAGAGAGAGAAATCGTCGGAGCCGTGATGAATGTTTGAGATGCGCATCTGAGTTGCTTCCATCATCATCTTCTTCATGTGCTGCTTCTACAATATTACCGGGAAAGGCTGTTGTTGATGAAGAAGGTACATGGACTACTGTTTGTTGTTGATTTGTTGTTGTGTTTTGAATTGTTGGCTGTTGTTGTTGGTTGTTATTATTTGTATGGTTCATGGATGAATGTATGATGTTGTTTTGAGTATTATGAGAAGCATCTCCGTGATTATTGTTGTCTCGGCTCGGTTCGTGTTGTATTTCCACGCTTGTTGTGGTGATTGCAGAAGTAGAATGTATCGAGTTAGAGTTAGTATGTGCAGACAATAATTCCCTCTTGCTTTGCGTTGTTGATGATGTTGTAGGATTAGGAGTAACTGGTGGAGTAGACATATCTTTCAGCTCAAACAAGGGTTGCTTTCCGCTTAGATTGGTACCTTCGTTCAAGGAGAAGGTATCACCCGGCATCTGTTTGAAAGAAAATTCTTCGTTGTCGTTTTGACCTTCTTTGAACGAAGACGTGTTGAATTATTTTTTGCGTTTGGCCAGCTCTCTTGTCGATTAAATAAATGATCTTTTAAGAAAATTTGCTACGCCATTCTGAGAAAGACCTCCACATAGAAACACCACACACAAACTTGAAGCTGAATGGACCACACCTCGGTTTTTAATGTGTTCAATTACGGAGTAGGAAGAGGGTAAAACGTATCAACAAAGGGTCGACAACTTTGGAAAATGGTTCACGAAAATTTGAGGTGGCAATAAAAACTCCATTAAAGGAATAAATATTATCTCAGCATGCAGGGCAACAAGAATCCATTTCGATAAAAAACCATGAATGCGGACATTCAATACATTCGAGCACTACGGCAGTGATACTAATTGTTTTTAGTTTCTTATTTTAGGTTTCTATCTTTCCATTTAGATGGCTTCAAAACTAATGGTCTGTTCCCTAAATATTTTCCGTTCATATTTTCTAAAGCATGCACATAATCGTTACAATCTAAAAAGCTGATAAATCCATAACCCTTGGTTCGGTTTGTTCTTTTATCCCTTATTACAGTCGCTTTTGAAAAGCTTGGATAATGAGAAAGAATTTTTCTAACATTTGATCTGTCACTTCATTGCCCAAATTGTTAGCATAAATTCTGAAGTCATTTTCCTCATACTGTTCTAAATTAGGATCTTCCCAAACATCAGCTTTTCCGCTAGCAGTATAAACAGTTCGTAATTTCTTCTTCTTTTTCTTGTTTGCTTGTTCGTTTTGTTGTAATTGAGATTGTTCGTATTCTTTTAGTTGCTGTTGATATTCTTGTTGTAATTGTGACGTTTGCTTTTGTTTCTGATAATCTTGTAAGTAAATTTGTTGTTCCAAAGTAGGCTCACTTGACGTTGTACTATTAACATTTGTTTGCGGGCTTGCTGTTATCACCGTGGAGCTCGCTGTCGCAGGTTTGTTGATAACTTTGGACAATTTTGTTTGTCCAATTTTCGGAGGTGATGGCATTCCTTGTTGTGAACTTCCACTTGATGCCTGCTTTACAACTTGAGCAGCTACATGTTGGGCAGTGGCACTCAACCCTCCACTTTGCATCACATGAGACTTTTGAATTTTTGGCAATACTGATGGAGTAGATTTTACGCTTTCTCCCGAGGATGGAGGCTTTTGGATTTTGTTTGGCTTGATGAAGTGGAGGAAGCAACAGAAGTCGTCGGTTGTTGTGGGACCCCATGATCTAGCGAAGAGGAAGTTGTAGAGAGGGCTGCAGCACTTGTTTTACTTAATTTCTGCGAAATGTTTTGTTGAAGTTTTGCCAATCGGGATTGAAGATCATTGAGAGAGGATGACGTTAGTTTAGCAGAAGGGTTTGATGTCGACATTTTTGTACTTTGATTTTTGAACATGCATCGTTCCGAATTGCTCACAATTCTTTGTTGCATGGATTCAAAACTTGAAGAAGAGAACCCAACCAGCATTACTTTGCTAGCATTCATTAGTCCAAGAATCATGATGAATTTGTTCAAGAGATCCTCGGCAGGACATGCACGCTACGGTCTTCAAAAATTAGGAGAAACAAAAATGCCAAAACCTAACAACAACAACAACAACAAGACACCACCACGTCCTCAAAACACGAACAACAACAAGGAGGATGCATCGGAAAAGAAAAAAGAAGACTCTGTAATCATGGATGAAGATTTTGATACAAGCAGCGATGATAGCAGTAGTGAAAGCGAAGATGAAATGGTTTCCGTTAAAATGTCAAACAAGATGGTTGCTTTAGAATATAGGTTAGAGGGTCACTCTGAAGTTCCTCTCTATTTGTTTTATAAACAACACAATGGAGCCATTCCGAATAACAAAAAGATGAGAATGACAAAAATCATAAAAACGAAAGAACAAAAGGACATGTTTTATTTTGCACAAATCCATCTCCCTTTTTGAATGAGGAAGGTTTGTCAGAATTGTTTTCTTCCAATTTTGATTCACAAGTTGGCCAATGTGTGATGAGCCACTTGGAAGAAAAGCATGGTCATGTTGAGAATTGGTTAGAGTTTCAAAATCCATTCTCCATGTATCGAGATCATCCTAGGATTAAAAGCGGAACTGCACACATACTTTTGAATAAGGCTTCTGCAGTGCAAAAAGCATTAGAAAAGCCAATT